TGCTATTTTCTTCGAGAGCGGGGAGGACGTCATCGGCAAACTCCTCCAGGAGCTGTTCCTCCGACTTCCGGTTCAGCTCCTCGGCCCTGATCCTGTCTAGCTCCTGGGTAAGGGCCAGACAGCTTTCCTCGGAGCCCACTGCCCTCTCCTCCGCAGCAGAGAGCCGCTGCGTTTGCTCAGTAATCCTCCTCTCAGCATCGGCAAGTGCGGCACTTAGTTTTTCAGCGCCCACCTTGGCCGATTCGGCGTCCTTGAGGAGCTGCTCTATTTGGGCAGCCTGCCCCACCAGGGTAGAATCCCTGGCAGCAACGTCTTCCGTTGCCCGAGCAAGGGCCGCTTCCGCTTCCGCCTTCTGATCCCGGGCCCTCTGGAGGTCCATCCTGGACGAGTGGTACCGAGCAGCAATGATAGAAATCTGCTGGGTAGCCTGCAAAGGAAGGAAAAAGTGTCAAGTCACAGAAAGGGGAAGCAGGAGTAAAGGAACCAAAGCAAAAATAAACTCACCACCAGGGAGTTCTGGATGATGGAGCGGAACAACACGTTGGTTGATCGCCCCCGATGAGCCTCCATGTCAGCCTCAAAATGCAGTGTCTCACTCACTGCATGGGCGACATGAGGATCCTGCAGAATGGAATCGTCGACCCTGATCACTCGGTTCATGTGATCAGTGGCTCGGGGATTCCACTCCGCGGCCTCCACCGTAGGCAGGAGGGAAGTAGTCTGCTGCGGCTGTTGTTGTTGTTGCTGTTGCTGTTGCTGCTGTTGTTGTTGCTGTTGTCGGGGCTGTTGTTGCTGTTGCTGCTGTTGTGGGGGAGCAGGGGGTAATCCACGATCCCTCCCGCTTTGATGTTGAGCGGGAGGTGCCCTGGGTCCCCGGCTAAGGCCGTCATGCCGATGCTTGACCCTTCTCTCCTCTTCTACCTGAGGATCCCGGTCTCGCACCTGACCCCGACCGAGAACCCTCGAAGAAGTGGCGGAACTCGTCCCCGCAGTACCACCGGTCGTCCCTCGACCTCTCCCGGCTGCGAGGGCTTGCCTCTGCCTAAGGAACCCCAAATTAATGCGAGGGGCGTTAGACATCGCTTCCTCGAGAGCGTCTTCGGCGTCCAAAGATTGAAGGATCTGGAAGTCTGGCCACAAGTCTCCCCCGGGAGTCCCCACCTCGGCGTCTGAAGGAACAGCGTCCTCTCTGACCCCGAGCTCCTCAGCAACTCCCTCTACCTCTCCCTCTGAAGCCCGATCCGGGTCTTCCTCCAAGTTTTCCTCGACCTCTAGCCTCGCCGCCTGATCGAAGAGCTCTGACCACTGCGAAGGCTCGAAAGGTTGAGGAAGCTGTGAAAACTTCTTATACCCGGGGGTATAGTACAGCAGATTATGAGCAGCTCGGCCGAACCCGTCGGCACCCGTGAAACTCCAAACCGTGGTTAGGTCGGCAAAGTTCACCAGCGACCGAGGAGGTGGAGCTGTTTCCCGAGAAGGAATATCTGCACAACAAAAAAGATTGTCATAAACATGAGAAGTCCCGAGAAACAAATAAAGAACCCGAAGGAACCGACGTACTTGTCGTTCTCCATTCCCGAGGGCAAAATAAGTCATTGTACTCGGGACCAACACCCCTCTCCCAACATCCCTTGAAGATTAAGATGTCGTCCTTGTACCCCTTGTCCGAATCAGGAAGATGGGTTACAAGGTACATGGAGGGGTCCCTGGCTTTGAGGTAGAAGTGTTGGTGAGGCATGACTCTTAGGAGGGAGTAACAGAAAAGGAGATCATTGAGCCCAATATTCACCCCGAGGCGCCTATTGAGCTCTAAGACCCCCATGATTATTCGAAAGACGTTGAGGCAGCATTGCCCGGGGAAGAGACGAAAGCGAGACAGGAACTGAAGAAGCAGGGGGGTAAAGGAAACCTAATTCCACCCTCTATGATGGCCTTGGTATAGAAAGGCATGGCATCCGCGGCCCCGAAGGTAGGAGAGTTCAACAATGGGTTAAAATCCACTACGTCTACACTCGGGGGAATGCCGTACTTAACCCTGAACCTATCGATCTGCTCCTCGCCTTTCACCTTGTATTTCCCTGACCCCGAGGGACCAGCCGGTGGATTCTCGGGAGCAGGGCGACGACGAGGCATCTCTAAAAGAAAAGGAAGAAAAAGGTATTTACTCTTGAAAACCTGAGGAAGTTCCCCGAGGGTTTAAATCAAGACGTACCGACCGGATGACACCACCGTTCAATCGGAAAACAAAAAGGCTAGGAGGACGATAAAGAAGAAGGTTGTGAAACTCACCCGAAACGTCAAAAATGGAGTTTTTCAGGAAAAACTTTAAAATGACTCGCACCGGAAAGTCCAGGAGTCAACAATGGGTTTACTGGCTCTGTGATTTTGAGAGAAAGAGCAGTCGACGATGGCAGAGGAAACAAGAACTCCGGCGAAAAGATCAGGAAAGGCGTACTCTGGGTCAAAGATCGGAATGGCAAAACGATGGAAACCAGAGAAGAACCCCCTTTATATAGGGGGAAATTGTCATCATTGGGCGGGAGAACCAAAACAGCGCATTTAATGCGCACGACGTCCCAAGCCGGGGAAAGCTGCTCGAGGCCATAATGAAGGACGGATGGCAGTTGGAAAACCCTTCGTCTCCTTACAACGCGTGTCCTCGGTGTCAGAAGATCGAAGGCTGGGGGGCAGTTGATGGGACTCTTCTGAAAAGCCCTAAGATGAAGACACGTGTCCTCGGGTTTTTGGAAACAGTGTTGCCCGGATGTAAGCACCATCGGCGAAGAGCGTCCTCTCCCCCGAGGTACCTCTCAAAGGATCATGCATTCGGTGTATTATACAACACGTGTCCTCGGTCACCGTGTACATCGGAAACATACCACCCCTCGGTCCCCGAGGTGAGCCTTTCCTCGGTGCCGAGGGTCACTCCATCCTGGACGCTTCCTCTACTCCCAGATAAAGCTACTGACGTACGGGACATCAGCCTATGCCAGTCTAGACTATTCATCATGACCTCGTCTTACACAAGTAATGTCAGAACATGCTGGAATACAGAAGTCATAGCCAATACGTGATGGACGCGTGGCATATGATATCACATCAAAAACAGACAAACCGCATGCTGTTGCTGACATGCGCTTTGGAAAGCAAACAATTAATTGCACCCTTCTGTTGACGAGACCGCATTCAATGCGGTAAGGTTCGGATATGAAAGGCAATAAATGCTCCTATTACAGAGCATTTATTGCATCCTTCCCGAAAGGAGCATATTGTACCGTCGGCGTCCCGACGACTCAGCATTGATTGCTCGGGACCCCGAGCAGTCAATTAGAGAAGACATTCCTCATCAAATCAATACACACGCTACCTGTGCCTGATAATCACCTACTGACCACACTGACAGCAATCATGAGCTTCTAAGGTATAAATACTCCTCCCAAAAGGCAAAGCGGGTATGCAATCAAAAACTCTCTACTACAATACAGACTTTCTCAGTGTTTTCTTCTTCCTCTCTCTCATTCAAAGACTGACTAGACCGTCGGAGGGGATACGCCGGAAAACACTCCGGCACCCTTCTAACTTGTTCCTCTTTATTCCAGGAAAACCTTTCAGACATACAGGATAGTTCTTCCTTTCCCAGGATCCTCTTTTGCCGTTCCAGGTTGCCACCGTACCTTGCAGGCTGTGTCAAGCAGCGTGTTTGGCCACTCAACCGGCTCACTCAGAGTTTACCAGGGGAGTGATCTGTTCCCAATATTTTTTATATATTGTGCAGGATCTTGCACGCACCCCAAGTTAACTACATAGCTGACAGCATAGCATACTGCTAGACTCAGCAAAACTAAAATTAAAATCACTCTTCCAGACAGATACTATCCATTTCAATCCACAAACATCCCTCACCTGGACTACATGATCGATCACCATCATGCAATTCCATGTCTTGGCCCCCAAACAATTCTCTTTTTCAATCTAGCCGATCATATTGTTGCAGATCATAAATACTGGAGACATCTGATCGATCAATTATGTATAATGATCGATCATGGAGTTACTGATGGAGATGTTGAAGGGGAAGTGGGATTGCGATCGATCTATTATGTATAATGATCGATCAAGGAGTTACTGATGGAGAAGCTGAAGAGGAAGTGGGATTGCGATCGATCAATTAAACTCCATGATTGATCATGGAGTTATTGATGGAGAAGTTGAAGGGGCCAGTGGGATTGCGATCCATAGAAACTAAATATGATAGATCAATAAGTTGATGTATTTACTTAAATGCCCAGAAAGAATAATAAATTTAAGTGTTGTAAGGGGGAGCTTTGTAGTAAATAAACATCGGATACCCAAATAAATCCCCAAATCCTACAAAATTACCCCTAAATCGCTCACGCCTGCAAAACCCATTCAAAACCCTTCCAAATCCGACAAAACCCATTCCAAATCCATTCAAAATCCTACAACATTCAAAATCCTACAAAATCCGTTCCAAATCCTACAAAACCCATTCAAAATCTACCAATTCCATAAACCCTAAATCACCCACCACCCCAAATCTCTTTCATTGATCAATCGACTACACAAACTACTTTGACTACACAAACTACTTCCATTGTGAATCTTCATTTGGAGAAGAGTGAAAATTTCCATCGTGAATGTTCTTTGTGAATCTTTGCTGAAGAAGAGTGAAATAACCACATTTGGAGCTTTGGTGATGCCGGGCAGAGAAACGAAGAAACAGAAGAAGGTGGTTAGCGGGGGGAGTTCTGGTAATGCCAAACTCTTTGTGGATAAAGATGCTAAAAAGATGTATGATTCATTCATTATTAAACGTCCTCTGTTAATTGAGTGTGGTGTTTACCTTGATGAGCTAGTAGGCAGTGTGGATTCCCCTGAAATACTTTGGGCTCGGAAATGAGAACCTGTGTTTGATGTGAATGTGGATGATAAAGCATATGTTGAACTGGTTAAGTTTTTTTTATGCAAATGTTCACGAGTGCAATGAGAATGAGCTGGCATTTAAGACTCTGGTTAGGAAGAAATCCATCACTGTTTCGCCTGATCTTATTTCAAATATATTAAAAATTGATAGACCAAAGATTCCTGAGAATTCCATTGTCTTTCCATATTCAAGTAAGGAGCAGGCTCTTGAAATGACGACGGTTATTCAACGTATTTGTATTGGGAGTGTCCCTTGGGAGAATGAGAAAAGCAAAATTGCTCACATTGACCTTACTCCAATGTATAGGATGATAAACCGAATTGTTGCTTGTAATTTACATCCGAGGTGGCATACTGCTGAGATTGGATACGATACGGCCCAACTATTATATGCTATTGTTGAACGTGAGGTTATTATTGATCTACCCCTTTACATATTTAGCCATGTTCGTGAAGCATCTACTGTCGAGGATTGCGGGCCATGTCTTCCTATTCCAATATTAATTTCCACGATTTTGAAGCATAGTGGGGTTGAATTTCAGCATAATGACAGTTTTATTTACCCCATGAGTCCGATGGGTGTGGGTACACTTAATAAAAGTGTGGGAGCTATACTGGGTGTGAAACGGGTCAAGCGTGTGAAGCAACCAGCAGCGGTGCGTCAGGTTATGGGTAGTCAAGCTGGGACTAGTTAAGTTCGTTCTGATGATGATACTAGTGAGGGTGGAAAAACACTTAAGCAAATGGTTGAAAATTTGGAGGCCCGATTTAACCATTTTGAGGATGAAATGAAAGGGTCGTTGCAACGTTTGGAGTCAAAATTAGATTGTTTTTATAAGGACTTTAAAGAGTACATCAACAAATGACACATTGGTTTTGTGTTTTTTTTTTTTTTTTTGTGAATCTTTTGTTGTATAATAATATTTGGCATTTTGGCTAGGGTGTTGTAGATGGTGGGTGGATGGTTGTTAAATATATTGGGTAGTTGTTAGTAACGTTGACATGTTATACCTGATTTTTTGGCCTTTTTTGCTGTTCAGACGGAAGCATCTACTGAGTTATCTTCTCATAGCATTTTGCCTGGGTGTGGCAGATTGCTTCTTCATTAGGATCAGTTTGGACTAGCTACTGCAAAGAAAAGGAAAGTTATGGGTTGTGACCAAAGTCAAGGAGTTGGATAATGGATGAGAGGTTAGAATGCTTGATGGAAGACTGGACAGTTGATCTGATTGGTCTAGTCTGTGTCTGGGTGGATATTGTGATGAGCATTGGGTCATGTTTGTGGTAGGAGGATAAGTTGTTTTGATCCTTTTGAAGGATTAAAGCCAACTTGTGTGATGATCTATATTCTGGCAGACTGTATGAGCAAGTTTTATGTCTGGGCAGTTGATGTATAGAACTGAGTCTTAGTTTTTTATGTGAACTGGATTGCATTAGTTTGTTTCAGATGGATTTTGTCTTTTCTGGTGGATTGTCTTTGAAGATAGCTACTGGGATGCTGATGTGGAGGGTGATTGTGGTCTTTATGCTTGGCTACTGGACTAGTTTGTTGTTTTGCTTTGTTTTAATAGTTGTCTGCTATTCTGGGAGACTGCAGCTATGGGCATAGGTGCAGGAGCTGAGTTTGGGTACATAGCAAACCAGCTGGGATTGCATGGGTGTTGTACTGGTTTGTTTTTGATATGGGGGTTATGCATGAGGAGCTGTGTGGGAGTTCAGGAGCTGTACTGAAGATCAGAAGACACAAATTTGTAGCTTAAAATGGTTTTAATCAACTTGAAGGATTAAAGCATTTTTTGAAATGTTTAGAAATGTTTGTTCGTTGCTTCTTGTAATTACTTCTTCGATCAATAAAATTTCCCCATTTTGGTAAAAAAAAAAAAAAGAAGTTGACCCTTCCATGGAACTTAAGAAATTTGCATTGTGTGGTCAGCTGCCGTAGAGCAAAAGGATGATTATCCTAAAATATTTCAGTGGCCTGATGTGTACTCGTTAACACTACAAGAAATATTCAGTGCATTATGCTAATGAAATCGTTGAATAGTTTGTACCAAATAACACCAAGGCAATGACAAAGCCCATGTATTCATACTCACCTCAAAAATGTTTAAAGAAGTATTAATCTACTGCCTCTGCACAAATGAATCAAAAGCAAGCAGGTATCTTTTCTTTTTTTTTAATGAAAAGGGAATTATAATTATTCATAAGGCAAAATATTTACAAGAAACAAAGGAAAAAGCATAGACGCCCATCTACAACCAATTTATAGCCAAAACTAACAATGCAATGCCAAAAATACACTACATCAAAATCTAAAGTTTCAGCAAAAATCCCCATCACAATCCAAATCCATAAGCACATATCAACAATAAAGAGCTTTTTATCTTTTCCCCTTGTTTCAAACAAATCAACACTTAATAATCCAAGACAAAAAGCTCCAACAACAGCTCCTATTACCCCTTATCATCGAAGACCACCCTATTTCTTTTTAGCAAAATAGGGAGACTTTGTTGATCAAATGACAGAGTCAAGGTAACATCACAAGGCAATCTCAAACCCATCAAAAAATCAACCGAATATCTACTCTTTACCACTTGCCCAGCAAGACTATTAGCATCACCCGCATTCGCCTCACGAAAAATATGCACCAAGCTATAATCTAGACCCCTGAAGAAACCACTGATCTGTCTCAAATAGCTCAAAAATGTCCAAGGACAGTCACTAATACCCAAAACACTAATCACCAAAATCAATGGATCACGTTCAATTTCAAACCTGCAACAAGTCAAACCATATGCCAAAACAAGCTTCAATCCATTGCACAATGCTCTTAATTCCGCAATGATGTTAGAACACTGCCCATAAAAAAAAAAGAGGAGGCAGCCACAATAATTCCACACCATTTATTACGCACCACAGCTCCTCCCCCTGCAATCCCTGGGTTTTTCTTGGAAGCCTTGGCTATATTAAGCTTCAATGATCCAACACCTTGGCTCCTCCACTGTACCCATCTACATTTAACTTTCACCTTACGAGATAGGCTAATCTGCAAAGCACTCAAGAATTGTTTTCCATTGTCATCATCCAGTGCCCCTCAACAGCCTTTGTCGCTCTCTCAACAGTCCATTGCAAATTGGGTTTTGGTCTCCAGTATATCTCTTCACGGCTCAATGTTACATCCAACTCACCCTATACCCTCTCCAGTATATCAGTTGTTGTTAAGAAAAATAAAAAATGGATATGAAAACCATGTTGGTAATTTGATGAATTTTCCATAGTAATTAAGAGGTGATAATGTATGAAACCTGATATCAGAGGACATTGTAATTGTAAGTTAGATTCCAATGGTCGTCTTCTTGAGTTGATGGCATGGGATGTTGGAAGCCACCATGTTATGAGAAGGGTATGTCATCATGTGGGTCGTCTGCATGGCATGTCAGCTGCGGACACTTACGAATAGTATGTCCAGTGCCACGACATTTACTACATTATCGCAGAGCTATTGGTAAGTTCTTCCGTACACAGCCTAGATTGCCTTTGGTTGTCATTGTCTTGGGATCGATGACACCAAATTTTCTGGTCGACACAGTCTCATTATCTTTGTCCTGCGATGCTGACACCTGTCTTGCCTTGCGTGTATCATGATGTTGTTTCATACGATTGGTTACTGCAGTTTTTGTTGTTCGAAGCTCCTGTGCATCCTCAGGCAATTGTGTAGCGTAGTAACACATCCGACTACACATTGACATTAATCCAGCATATAGACAAGAAATTGATATGGTTCTTGACGTTTAAGGCACAGAGCTCGATGGGAAAGCTGATTTTGCAGTAATTGTCCATTGCTTTATAATAGTATAAGGAATGAACTCTGTTATTTGTTCAGTTTTCAAAACTGTAATGATGTGTGAGCAAGGAAGTCCAACGGATTGTAATTTCAAGCAATTGCATTTGATGGTGTGATTCTAATAATCATATATCACATTCCAATTGGATGTTGGTTTTGTGTACTTCAATAGATAATAACTCGAATGAGTACTGTGCTGAATTTTTTGGACCACGAAGAAGAGTCCTTCGTCCTTTATATGATCCCGCACTTTTAAAAAAAAATTGACCTGGTATATAGTGAGGAAGCGTGCTGGTCTAAGCAGCGTAGTGTAGTGGTCAACACTGGGGTACTGTTTTCAGAATAATGATTATCATAGGTTTCGATTTCTCAGATTCTTGATACACCACTATCATACTGTTTAACAAATTCATACAAACGAAGCCTTGTTTTCAGGAAATGACTCAAGTAACCATTCAAGCTTTCTGAGCATTGCGTGCTTTTGATGCCGACAAAGAAATGACCCCGCAAGAATGCTTCAGCCCATTTCCAACGCATTTCGTACACATCTGATATCCAGTTGTTATCCTCCAGCCCAAATGATTGTACCATTGATTCTCACATAACGTCAAATTCCTCGGGTGTACATCGAGAGCACATACATTTCTTGAACTTGCGAAGAAAATTTTCAGCATGAATATTTTGAAATGCATTCCTCTCCAAATGCCAGGTGCATAGCCTGTATTTAGCGTGTGAAAATATTCTTTCGATTGCGGCGGCCATGGTCTTGTCCCCATCAGTGACAACTGATATAGGCTTTTTATTATCCATTGCATCCATAAATGTCTCCAACACCCACACATATGTGTCCACGGTCTCATATGAAAGTAATGCACATCCAAAAATGCAAGTAGCATTGTGGTTGTTTACACCTGCAAGTATGACAAATGACTTTTTGTACGCATTGGTCTAGTATGTTGTATCGAATACCAAACATCACCGAAACATGAATAGTCAACACGGGAAGTTGAATCCGCCCAAAAGAGGCAATTCAATGAATTATCATCTTCAACACTGTACCTGAAATAAAATAATGGGTCTAACTCCTCTTTCGCGCTCAAGTATGCTAGTGCACCTTTAGTATCCACATCAATCATTTCCTATCTTCTTTGGCTTGCAACAACGTTGTGCAAATCCTTTCGGGTAATGCCAACATTTTGATAGCCGCCAGCTTGATGCAACATAAAATCTCGTATTTGGCTACTGCGTATTCCAACAGTGCGAAGTGTTGTTGCTTGGTCTATGTCTGGGCTTTTCACACGACGATGGGACTGAAGGAACGACACTCCACTCGGTGGAACCAACAGGTGGTTATGATCATTGACAAACTCCTTCATTGCCCATTTTTTTGACTTTCTGTCATACTTAACTCGGAATACTGCCAAACAACCAACTCAAGTTATTCCCTTTTGATTCCCATGCCCTGTCATCCCGGTCTAAGTATTTTGTAGCTCGAAACCCTTGTCGTGAGCATACCCATTTCCTTGTGACCGGGACGTGGTTTTTTTTTCATATTTTAAGTCATCTTTCCTGACACTGAAACCTACAAACTTAGTGTATGTGTTATAAAAATTACCCGCTTCAGCTTCCGAGTTAAATTGCACGTGATTGACTTCTTCAGCCGACAAGTCTTGTAAATTTTTTTCCAATTCGACAACTTCCGATTTACCATGACGATGTACATATTCACCATTACATGTGCCAAACTCAAACATATCAATATATTCAGGTGTTTCATTCAAGTCTATAACGACATGCTTTTCCTTCGCAAAGCTAGTATGATCCATTTTATAAAATACAAATATTTTTTAT